CTTCAGTATGGAATACCTTGTGTTTTTGCGTGATTTCTTGCCTTCAGTCTTTATTTATTATTAGTACACTCTAAGCTTTCAATTGTATTTATACCCTAGTAGATGCTCGTGACTTGTGACACCCTGGTTAGGGCTGTGTCGGGTTGTGCTTCTGTTAATTATATCATTAAATCATATTTAAACTGTTTATTAATGTTTAACTATTTTTGAAAAGGCGATATGGGTTTGTTGGCTGGCCTTGTCTTCACGAGAGGCGCCATCACGACCGGAGCGGGGTTTGGGTCGTGACAAGTTGGTACCAGAGCCTAGGTTACATAGGTCTCACGAGTCATAAACAGGTTTAGTAGAGTCTCGCGGATCGGTACGGAGACGTCTGCATTTATCCTCGAGTGGCTGCAAAACCTTTAGGAAAAATTTACATTCTTGAATTCTTATCGTGCGTCCTTTGATTCGGCTTGAAATGTAACTCTTTGAATTCCTTCCACACATTCGTATGCGCACATGAGCGCTCAGTATCAGATGTGCCTTGATGGCTTGTGATTCCCCGATCGAGGGGCGAGATATGATCTCTGTGAGTTTGATGTTGGGCCAGTCTGGAGGACTTGAGGCCGAATATTTGCCTATGGCTTGAGCACCGAGATGCTGATTGTGTGAGCAAGTATTTTTGAACTTATATGTTCGGTAGTGTCCCTATTAGTGAGAGTGATGGCTGGATAACTATGTGATGTGTATGTTAGTACTGCGAGATGTATCCATCTTAATTTGGGGAGTTATGGGTGTGCAAAGAGTCTTTTCATGTGTCATAGTTGGGAGTGAAGTAAATTTCATGTTGCGGTATGAGTTCAGACTCAGGAAGACTAAGTGACTGCGTAATGGTTATGACAGTGGAAGGTATACATAAATGTTAGTTTAAGGCGAAGAAGGTGGGTTGTCTCATGCGAAGTGTTCTGAGGTTTCATTTGGGCCCGGTCTTACTTGATATAAATACATATAAAAACGCTATTTTGAGGACTTTTGACATATCTTAGACCTGGGGAGAGTATTTCAGAAGGGATAAAACGTTTGGAGCAATTTCCGAAGGAGATTAGCATCGAATTATTCATTCCTTCATCTTTACTTTGTAATTTAATTATGCAAATTTTTTGGAAAATTGTTACTATGAGTATGAGTAGCTAAATTCCTAATCTAGGGCTTTGATGGAACCTGTTGAAGGATGATTTTCTCGATATGTTAATATAAATTTGCTATAGTATTATCTCTATTTGTTCAACTACATGCTTATTGTTGTTAATTGAAGGGCCCTCAATTAACTGTTCCTATTTAGTGTGAATTACTCGGGAGAGAGTTCATATTGAGGTAGTTGTTGAACATCATAACTCCTAACGTATATGAGGGATCAATACGAAGGGTTTAAAGGTGGGATTAGGGATAATGAAACTTTGGGTACGATCTAAGTGAGCTGTACTTAAAAACTAGCTAGCGTAATTCGGGAGAATATGTCTAGTATATTATTGTAATTACTCGGGAGAACGTTACGACAGTCAGAGTGCTCTTGATCGATAGAGAAGACTTAGGCGAATTTATAGCAAACATAGCGGAAAGGATTCCGACAACAGGGGAAATAAGAACCTTAGACCCTTCCAATTCTTGTTTACAAACCGTTCATAGTTAGTTCTTAATTACTGCATTTTTATTACATAAATATTTAGTTAATAAACACCTAAATTGTTAATCAAATATCTCTGAAGATTGAATACGTGAATTTCTGTGAGTCCAATAGCTGTGATTGATAGGTTAATTTCCTGTGGAGTTTGACTCCAGACTTGTTAACCGGAATATACAACCGCTTTATCCTTTTTATAAGGTATGATTGAGCGTGATCAATATACCAGATTAATCCATCTAATGTTAACTTATACCGAGTTACCTAACTAAAATATCCATTTAATGTTAACTTATATTAACAAAAATAAAAAAGAATATTAATTTAGTAATTTTTACCACAATAGTTTCGTGGATAAGTTATACAAGCATTCTGGTATTAAATATGTAAAGAAAAAATATAGGGGGCATCTAGAAAAGTAAATGCATCACGTGTATGGCTAAAACATTATTTCTATCCAATTATATACACTTTATCTATATTATATCTACCCAGTTATATACAATTACAATGTCATACCACTTAAATACAAATTTTATAAAAACATTTATACAACATATCTTTTGTATATTTTGTATCTGATTTATACACAGTAAAAATAAATTTCATACAACTAAGCATATATTATATAATTTATCTACAATTTTTACATATTATTTTTACCCATTTAAATATAACCACAATAACATACAACTTAAATACAAATTTTATGCATAATTTATACAATTTGTATATTTTGTATCTGATTTATACATAGTAAAAATAAATTTCATTCAACTAATTATATATTATACAACTTATCTGCAGCTTATCTATAATTTTCATACATTATTTCACTTAGTTATATACAACTACAATATCATACAACTTAAATATAATTTTTATACATATTGTTCAACTTTCATACAATAGTTAAATAAAAAAAAATATAACAGCAGAATACAATTTTTCTACAATTATTTTTTATAATTTTACTACAATTTCGTAAATATAATTTATACCATGTTTTCTTCTTCTTCTTTGAGTTTCAATATGAAATTCAGCCAAAATTAAGTCTAATCTTCACCAAAACACCCTCAAAATTGAGATATAAACTCCAAACTATTTTCCCAATTATTTGCAACAATACCCATTCCAAGCAATAAATGGGTTTTGAAAACTCAAATTCGAATTCAAAGTTTCAAAGCTTTTTAATGGCTGTCAATGGTGGATTGCTGCTCGCTTTTCCTTTGCTTTACATTACTGAAATTAGGGATTGTGAGATAGAGAGACATAGAGAGAATTCCCAATTCTTTGCAACAACACCCAATTTAAACAAATAATATTTTTTGAAAACCCAAATTCGAATTCAAAGCTTCAAAGCTTTTTAATGGTTGTCAATAGTGGAATTGTTGTTCTCTTGTGCAAGATACGTAGGGGAGGGAGGTGGGATGTGGAGAGAGAAACGTGGGGGGCGTGAAAGATATGTTAGAGTGATTTTAGGACACTAACTATTATCATTAATTTCCTTAGAATGTAAATAAATGGTAATTGGGTATATAAAATGTAATTATAGTAAAACTTAGGTAGGAAGGGTAGTATAGTTTCATATAGTGTATAGGAAAATTCCAATAAATATATATTTAATAAAAAAAAGATTATGACCGGGCTTGATAGTTTTTTTTTCTGAAATATTACAATTCAACGACTTTAGTGAAAATGATAGAATTCGATTCATCCAACGATGGTATTTTTTATGGTCTCATTTGTTTAATTATAACGCCGAATTTTCGTTGAGCTCGATTCGGGTAAAGCTTCCATTACTTGCTGCAAATTAATTTTCTAATGTCGACAGTATTGTTGGTAATGAACAAAGGAGGATTCAAGGTTTGAAGGTGGCGGATACCATATTTTTTTTTAATGTATCATGTATTGATTATAGAATTTGTTAGGAATGTGTATTCGATACGGTTCAGTCTTTTTCAAATTTATTCGAGTCAACTTAATAGGTTTTTGATTTGCCAAGATGAAAATTACATCTCTTATACCAAAAAACAAAAGAAATCAACATTTTAAATAGCACATTTGTCTCGTTTGAGATTGCAAAGTGGATATATATATATATATATNGATTAGCATGGCTCTTTGCGCGAGAAATGTTTCAAATATTAGAGAGAAAAAAGAAAATAAAAATTATCGCGAAGGAATTGTCCAAAGACAGGTTGATACCTTAACAACACAGTCTTCTTTGACGAGGCACAGAAAAAAAAAATTCAAATATGATATGCTTCTTAAAGAAGAAACATATATGGAAGGGAATTAAAACGAGAAGTAGGAAAATCCGTTCATATAAAAATCACATCCAACGTAACATTGATTTTCTCCTGCTCTTTTTAATTTCCATCAACTTCTCTACACGAACAACAAACTTTTAACCAATCAAAAACAGAAGCTATAAATTAAACTACTTTACAAGTCAACAAAGAACTAACATCCTAATACAACATTGGGATGTCTCGAAAAATGTACCTAGAATGGTGTATTAAGGATAAAATCAGAAGTTAAACCACCATAAACAGCACCAATGTTACCAATTATAGAGATCAATACATATTCTTTCTTATTGAAGGATCCAGGATTCAAAGCAAACTCCAATCTAATTGGACGTAAATAGATCTTCCTTTTAGGGAGTTTCTTGGCCATTATTAGGCCAATGGGATATACAACCAACATAGCCCACATCATTGACATGAGACATTCTGCTGTCTCCCGCAGGCAATATTTGGTAATAATTATCAAGAAAATGAAGGATAACAAACCCAGAAACAAGACACGAAATGTCCAGACAGGTTCAATGTTATCTTCCTCGTCTTCGATTTCCTCCTTGGATTTGCTGGCTTGTTGTTCATTTTGTGATCTTGTTTCATATCTAGAATTTAATGTTTCTTCTTGTGATATTGCTGCATATTCATCGTTTGGTTTGGTAATTCTTGGCTTTGCTCGACATACACGGGACGACATTATTGTAGGGAAAAAAATGAAGAGCTGTTGAGAGCGTGTTTTTTATAAATTGTTTAATTTGAGATCTGGACTCGTTCACCAATCACCATGTTACAAGCTACGGGATTTGTTACTCTTTCTTTTCTTTTTTCCTTAGTTTTAGATGGTCTGCTTCTACATTTTAAACATACAGATTTTTTCCCCCACTAAAACCATGCGATAATATAAGATAAAGTACAGTATAGAGTCCCGATAATTAGTTTTTTGCCACATTTACAACGGGGTGGAGGATGTGGTGTGCACTTTTTTTTTTTTTTTTTTTTTTTTTTTTTTTTTTTGAAAAAAACCGCGGGTCTGAGCTAGTTTATTCGCAGCTCGACTAATGTAACACGATACTTGCTACGTCCATGTGATGTGCATTCCCTCATACTGCTGGTTGCGATTTACTTTTAACTTGTAAAACTTCGAATTGACGAACTTACAAGAATGCGAAAGGTTATTTTTACGTATATAAGACAAGATATACAACAAAAAGCTGAACAAATTCCACCTTGCTACAATTGTTATAATGTTTAAGATTTCTATTGTGTAAAATAATTAATCTATTTTTCCAAAAAATGATCCAAACAAAACTGTAACATTGATATTTGGAACTTCCTAAAGATTTTTTTTGAGAATCTTACGCCTATATCTCAAATAAGTTCCAACTTACCAATCTTTGGCCACATATAAAAATTAAAAACCCAAATAAATAAGGTTCTTCTTTCCATGAATTACACACAAAGATCCCATTCCATATTTTTAAGCGTGGTCAACAACATTAGATCCAAGACAAAAAGGAATTTTCATGGATGAAGTAGCAAATATATATATATA